ATGCATTGAACACTTTTACGTTTTTACTAAATTTCCTCTGTCGGTGTTTTAGTTTTTTCTTTTGACTAGGCATTGCAGTGCTGACGGATGACTTTAGTCTTTTCTTTTTTTAACTGCTTTCTTTTCCCTGATTTCGATTGGTGCAAATATATTTTTTATTTACATACTGTATTATATGTATGTTGTTTTTTTCAGTCCGTCCGAGTATAGGCATAAAATAATATATATATATATATATATATATATATATATATATATATATATATATATATATATATAGACCAAGTATAGGATTGGTGTATACGGAATTCCGCGACATCACTTGATAAGACACCAGAAATGTTGAAACAAAATGCCTAATTTTATAAGATATTTATGTTATAATTTTCGAATGAATAATTATATATATATATATATATATATATATATATATATATATATATATATTAGCATAGATAGATTTTAGAAATGTCACCCTAGTTAGAAAATACATCGAGTGGATACTAATATCAATATTACAAACGATAAATACAGGTCAAAAACCTTATATTACATCCACAAACTTTACTGAACCCATTCTTAAAGAATGCAACGTATATTTATCTCAAACAAACTACGTACAAAAGAACATTTTTCAAATAAACATGCGAAAAATCAACAACTATGATTCTATTAGCCATAAACCCACACATACTTACGAATATATTGTTGTGCACTGGTGATTGTGTTTGAATTGATCAGAAGGAATTTCGAGGCCGTGTTCTACAACATTCGTCCACAACAATTATTTAGAACAAATACTTGGAACAAATCATGCAAATAAATTTGAAAACAAGACAAAAGTTGAATGCATAACAATAACATCAATTTATATACAATTTAAATACTGTGGGTTTAAGATTTGATGGATAAATGAGGATTAGTGTATTTAATTGTGTATTGTGTTATTGTGAATGTTTGGGTGCGTTTGCAGGTATTGATTAGATTTGTTCACAGAATTAAACTGTTTGATCAACGTACAAAAATGTTCGGTGTTGAGATGAATCGTTAGTGTATGTGTACGTAAGCGTGCTTTACAAATATTCAACGCTGTTCAGAGTTGCGTACCTTTATCTGCTTGAGAAAAATAAATTGTTAGTTTCTCATACTTGTTATGTAGTGAGAAATATCACTTTTAAAGTATAGCAAGTGAAGTTTGAGAAATTGTTCTAGAGAGAGATAGAGTGTGTTTGTGGATTGTTGAGTCAGAGAATATTTTTTGCGCAGCAAGTCTGAGTTTTGACTGGCGTGGAGTTGATGGGCTTCTCTCTAGGTGAAGAGGTCTGACTGATGAATTGGACTGAAATTCGTCCTTTTATTTAGTTTGGGAAACCAAAGTAGGCTCCCAGTGGCCTGGCGAGAAAACAGATTTTTGACCATGGATACACATTCTAGGGTCGTCTCGACCAATAACAAACCGAGTTTCACAATGTGTGGTGTCGATTGGGCAAAGCTAATTCTTATAGAAGAGTCTATTTTTAACGGGGGTGAGTAGACAAACATTGACGATTCTATAAAATATTATCATCTGAACTCCACATATGCAAATTAGTATTATTATACAATTGTATACAGAAATATTTACAGCTTTCCATTTAGCATTGGCATCGGTTGATTTCTTGGAACATGTAATTTGGATTGAATTTGGAAGGCCACACATATTAATATTTGTTTAACTAGTCGAATGAACGTGAAACATGATTAACCACTGAAAATCTCACAATATAAAAGTAAAAATACCAGAATTAATTACTTCCTTTTCTCCACTATTTACATTTATCGGACTATTGTCTTCATCTTTGTCGCCATATTTTTTACAACGTTTCGGCCGTTGTACACTCCGGATTTCTTCAGGTGGTTGGAATATCGAACTGAACCCTTTATTTCGCTCACTGGGGTAGACTGTTCTAGTTCCACGTGCCATGTCTAATTGATGTCACTTATCAGTAATATCCTGAAAGTTATCCCTCTGAAAGTTCTCCACTGCCTTAACTGGGTATTGAACTCACACTCTTTAGGTTCCGTCACTGGATCTAACCTATGCCTTTATCCACTGTGCCATGTATCCTTGAGGCCAGGGCATACAACGGCCAGAACGTTGTAATAAATATGGCAACAAAGATGAGGACAATAGTCCGAATAATGTAAATAGTGTATATAATAATACATCTCAGAAATATAGACAGATACTGAACGGCCGAAACGTAATAAATATGTCGACAAAGACGAGGACAATAGTTCGAATAATGTAAATAGTTTATATTATACCTCATTTCAGAAATATAGACAGATACTGAAAGGCCGAAAGCTTGTAATAAATATGGTAAGAAAGATGAGGACTATAGTCCAAATAATGTAAATAGTGTACATAATACCTCACCTCAGAAATATAGACAGATACTGAAGGGCCGAAACGTTGTAATAAATATGGCGGCAAAAATGAGGACAATAGTCTGAATAATGTAAATAGTGTAAATAATACCTCATCTCAGAAATATAGACATATTCCTTTTCTTCATATCCCATTATCTGATGAAAAATTAATAAAATTGAAAAGATTTCTATATGATCTTTAACTTATTATACCGTCGGATTCCGCTCCACTGATTTTTCCAGATACAAGTTTTACTATTTAACCAATAACTGAGGGATGTGTGGATACAAACCTTTTCCAAGAGAAATTGCACTAAATTTAATATAACGAAGCAGTCTAAAGATAGATAGCGATACACTGATAGCAATATAGTGTGCGATGGGGAAATTGTCGCCATTTTATATTTGCACATGCACGTTGTATGTTTTTGATTTTGTCAACTGCATAGGATATTAGGGTCAGTTGGGCACCGTCTGTGAGAGCACCATGATGCCATTCACTCTGTCAGAAATTTGATAAAAGCATGATGAATTGCTTGCCATTCGCACCGGAAGCTCTAATACGAACATTTCAGTGTTTGTGTGTCAATCTGTGGACAGTGCAGAGGATGCGAAAAGAGTTGCAAGAGTCTAATGCTGATCACGAAGGTACGGCCGCTCGAAAAACTCACTCTGATCGTTCTGATAAGAAAATAACTACGAATTTGTTGATGAGAGACTCAGACTCAACACAAAGGCTTACATCAAGTGCGTTGATGAGGTAGTTCTGCACAGTGTCAAGGGGTTGGTTTCTCGAAGACCCTCTCTTTACCAACAGTACCCTGCACCATGCCACACAGCACACAAACCCAGTCATGGATTTCAGACAATTTCTGCAACCACATCAACCCTTACACCTGACCATAGACAACAACCTAATCGATTATTATGTGTGTGGCCCAGTTAACCGAGAAACTCCTTGTAACACCAAAGATGAACTGAAGGCAAGGATTATGGTAGCATTCACCAACTTAAACAAGGAGACCGCCCAGAAGAGTTGCAAGAGATACCTAAGTCGTCTGGAGGCCATTGTTGAAGCCAATTGAGTTATTATTTAATTAATTTAAATAATTAATTTAGTATATAAAGATATTTTT